AGCCCCAGCTATCCCTCGTTGTTGACCGTTTATAAATTTACCAATTTACCTTTTGTCCGACCCCACGTTGTTGACCCTCAGGACTCATGTCTTGACTTCGATCTGTCCCCTCTTGGTGACCCTTTAGAACTTGACCTTCAATCCAACCCCATGTTGTTGACCCTAACGACTAAGCTCCAACCCCTCGCTGTTGACTATTAACATTTTTTCCTTTAGTCCGACCCTACGTTGTTGACCCTCAAGACTTGTGCCTTGACTAAGCTCCAACCCATCGTTGTTGACCATAGTACTTTGCCTATAGTCCGACCCCTTGTTGTTGACCCTCAAGATTCATTTCTTGACTTAACCCCTACCCCTCGTTATTGATAATTTAAAACTTTGCCTTTAGTCCAACCCCACGTTGTTGACCCTCAGGAATCATGTCTTGACTTTCCCCCAAACCCCTCGTTGTTGACCGTTTATATAACTGTGCCTTTTATCCTTTTTCACGTTGTTGACCCTCAGAACACATGTCTTGACTTCGATCCGTCCCCTCTGCGTGATACTTTAGAATTTGACCTTCAATTCAACCCCATGTTGTTGACCCTATTGACTAAGCTCCGCCCCCTCGTTGTTGACCATTTATGATTTTTTCTTTTAGTCCAACCCCATGTTGTTGACCCTCAGGACTCATGTCTTGACTTAACCCCTACCCTTCATTATTGATAATTTATAACTCTGCCTTTAGTCCGACCCCACGTTGTTGACCCTCAGGAGGACTCATGTCTTGACTTAGCCTCTATCCCTCGTTGTTGACCGTTTATAAATTTACCTTTAGTCCAACCCCACGTTGTTGACCCCCAGGACTCATGGCTTGACTTACCTCCAACTCCTAATGTTGATAATTTAGTCTGACCCCACGTTGTTGACCCTCAAGACTCATGTCTTGACTTAGCCTCGATGCCTTGTTATTGACCATCTATAAATTTAACTTTAGTCCTATCCCTCGTTGTTGACCCTCAGGACTGTTGTCCTGACTTCAGTCCGACCCTGCTTGGTGACCTTTTAGAAATGTACCTTTTGTCTGACCCCATGTTGTTGACCCTCTATTAACTATTCATGTCTTGAATTAACTCCGACCTCTCGTTGTTGACTCTTAGGCCTCATATAATGACTTACATCTGACCGCTTATTGTTGACCCCTCAGAACACTTTAGTTTGTCTGAGGGAGAAGATTCAGCGGCATGATTGAAGGCGTAAAAAGGTTGTCTGAACTGTCATTGATATTATGTACTAGGTATGTCAGTTTACCTGTCTTTTTGGACTTTTCAAAACTGTGCAAAGAGCTCCTTTTGTGCGGGCAGCAGAAAAATATGTTTAATAAATTTACTGTGTGGAATTTATCTTACTAGTTTTTGTTTGTATTATTGGCTAGGTATTCATGTTCATTCCTCTTTTTATCATGAGTGATTGGAGAGCGCCCCTAGAAGTAGGTCCTAAGAACAAAACTGAATCAAGTGTCGTAAAACACCTACTCAAACAAACAAACAAATAGAAGGTCCAACTTCTTTCCTTTCCTTCTGTCATTTCTTTCTGTCTGTCTTACTTTTTCTCTCATTTGAATGGAAGTTATTTTGTTTGAAAAGTCCCTTTTCATGATCATTTTCATTGCCAGCATCAGATGTTACTTGGGGTGTTTTTTAAAACTCTTTATCTCTTCATGGTTATTCCTAATTAATAATACCGTATGTCAAAAGTAATTGCTCATTTTTGCATTCATGTTGTACCTCAGGGTCATATAATATTTATATTATATAGGTCTTCCACTTTGTCTTGTGCTTTCTTTTTATTCATGTTTAATTAGATGTACCAGAGTCGCGTGTAGAAGTTAGGCTCTTTGCCTTGGCACTCAGTAGACTTTAGTTCTGTCTGCTGGGATACTGTATTCCTCTGTGTCCTCGTTGGCCATGATTGATAGGCAGGAACAGCGCAGCCTGCCTCATAAATGATCAATGTCAAGTAGATGAGGGTGTTGAGCATTACAATTTACGAGATATAAGGTGTCTTTGCTGTAGCGATAAGGTATTCTGCAGTGGCACACACTTTTTCTCTCTTTGTCTGTCTGTCTCTCTGTCTGTATGTCTGTCACTGTGTCTGTCTGTCTCTCTGTCTGTATGTCTGTCACTGTGTCTCTCCTTCTCTCTCTGTATCACTCTCTCTCACACCCCCCCCCCCCCCATTCTCTCACCCCCACATACACACACACACATACGTACACACACATACACACACACACACACACATTAGAGAGAGAGAGAGAGAGAGAGTCAAGCTTACTGAAAATCGAGACGAAATATAACCAATGATAGTACATAACAAGATGGGCCACTTCTCTCTTTGAGCCAATTAAAAAAGTGTCCTCAAAATTTGGTGGCGCCCTCTTCACAAAAGCGCACTCTTTGCGAACAGAGTTACCCTACTTGAGTTTTTAAAAATCAAAGTGAAACAAGCAAGTTTTGGGATAAATTTCGGAAGAACGCTTTTTTAAAATGGTTACGCTGACAAAAAACCTCTTCCGGAGGAAAGGGTGATGGTTTTCTTCGTTTAATTTGACTTTAAAATGAAAGGCGAGAGGTCATTAAAATAAAAAAAACCCTAAAACTTAGTAAAACTCCGCACAGAACGAACCCGAACTGCTGATGAACAGCAGTCGATCTGCGCACGCAAGGAGGTGCTATTCCTATTCTTCTTCTGGAAAAACGAAAGAGAACTTCAAAACAGACTGCAGCGCCATCTGAAGCAAAGAGCATACTTCCTGCGGACACTTTTTTTGCTGAGTGGCCCATCTTGTTATTTACTATCTTTGATATAACATGTTTGGTCTAATTGTATTCGATACTGTAGGCGATTACACCAAGTTCAACTGTAACAAAGAAATATAGTAAAATACTAGTCGCTGTTCCCCGGTCGCTGTTCCCCGGAAAAATGACGTCAGCAGTCGCTGTTCCCTGGCGCAGCCGAGGAAAACATTAACAACAATAAAGATAAAAAAAAAAAAAGACACCATATAAAAAACAACTAGTAGCTTCTAGCCAGAGACAACTTTAAAAATTAAATAAAAAATAAGAACCACCAGAAATATGTATTTAAAAAAAAAGAAATACTAATTCTAAATTAAGAGGAAGACAAGAGGAAAACAATAACAATAAATGATTTTTTTAAACCCCAAAGAAAACAACCGTGTCTAGTTCTAGTAGCTTCTAGCCAAGTGCAGCAACTTTATTAAATGAAAAAGAGAGCAAGATATATTAACTTTACCAAATATAACAGGAAACACCAATTTTAGAATAAGAGGAAAACAAGAGAAAAGCAATAAAAACAATAAAAGTAAAAAACAACAACCGTGTCTGGTGGTTTTTACCCAGAGGCTACTTTAATCTATCTAAATGAAAAATAGAACCAGAAATTTTAACTTTTATAAGGGAACACAAACAACGCTCATACCATACAAACACGCAAACAACGCTCAGACAAGCACACAAACATCAGATTAGATATCATAACATAGTCCAAAATGTGCGTCACACACGCACTCACGCACTCACGCGCGCGCACACACACACACACACACACGCACACGCACACGCACACGCACACGCACACGCACGCGTACACACACACGCACGCTGCGAAGACACACGCGTTCAGACAAATACACAAACATCAGTAATCAGTGTAGATGTTGTAACATAGTCCGAAGTTTGCGACTTTTTAAAAAGATGAATTTATTGTCCAAAAAAAGTAAAAGCACCTGGATACTCATGCCAAAATTGGGTCTTCATAACGCAAATAACGATTGTCATGGCAACGTCGTTACACAGTCGGTTCTCGTGACGTCATCGTTCCTGTGTGCAGTCACAAACGGATGCTTTAGAACGTCGGCGGCTGAGTAACGAGTTTGGGGGTCAACGACCAAAAGGCGCCGGATCAAATCCACGGCAGTGTCACTGTCAGACACGGATTTGCGGGTGTTAGGGATGACATAGTTTCCTTTGCAGACCTTCGGCAAGACATTCTTGTGGCAGTTTCGACAGTTGGGGTCCTTAGATTGTCCGTGCCGACCACAATCGCCGTTAAACGGCAGACGGTCGAAAAGCATCTCGAAGAGCAAAACCCCAAGACTCCACATGTCACAGCGGGTGTCGTAATGCGCTCTACTTCTCTGTGACGTGGATAACAGCAAACCGGCTATCTCTGGTGCCATGTATTGCGGGCAGCCAACTGCTGACCTCAGGGTGGGCTTGGCTATGTCCCACAGAATTCTACACTAAGTGTAGAATTCTGTGTTATGTCCCAATCAGAGGGGTCACGTCGAGAAGGGGGGTCACTTGCTAGGCCAAAGTCGCAGAGGACGACTGGGTTGATCTCCCGTGGGGAATGGCATAAAATGTTCTCTGGTTTTAGGTCTCTGTGTGCCACCCCGTCGCTGTGAAGTGTCAGGAGCGCTCTAGAGACGGCGCCGGTCACTCGTGAAGCCTGGGACTCGCTCAGATACGGAGTTGATTCAAACACATAGGCCAGGTCGCCTCCAGCCATCTTGTCGAATACGAGGAAAAACGTATCTCCTGAAGAATAGAAATCCACGAAATTGAGGATGCTCTCACAGTTCTTGTACCTCTGACGCATCTCGATCTCGCTCCTTACTCTGTGGAGTCTCTCCCCCCGACAGTCCACGATGACTTTCACTGCGTGTTAGTTCCCCGTTTCCTTGTTTGTGTATGTGGAGACTTCACCAAAGGACCCAGCACCCAGTTTTTCTCCAGTAGACTCATACAGCTCAGAGAAAATCCCACCATTCTTCTGTTGTTTTCTTTGTCTTCGCTTTCGTTTTCTCGAATTGGTAGGGAATGTTTCGGTACGCGCACAGTCACTGTCCGTGTTGCTTGAAGTTGTAGTAGGAGACATGACGTCACACGAAGCTACATCTGTATTGTTTGTAGTTGCAGGCCTAGTAAGATACGTGACATCACATGCGGCTACATCTGTGTAGTTTGCAGTTGTAGGCCTAGGAGGAGACATTACGTCACACGTGGCTACATATGTATTAGGTGCAGGGAACACATCGCTAGCACAGGCCTCAGACGTGACGCATCGTTCAGCATTAGCACCTCCGTGCTTTCGTTGACGTTTGGGTTTCCTGGGATTGAAAGGTACTGTTCCCGTGGGCATCAAGTTCTTATCCGAGTTCGTTGTAAGAAGCACTATGCTATTACTCGCTATGTCCGTGTTCGTTGCATGAAGCACTCTGTCATTACTGCCATTATTGGCTATGTCCCTCTTCGTTGCATGAAGCACTCTGCCATTACTCGCTGTGTCCGTGCTCGTAGCATAAAGCACTCTGTCATTCCTGGCTATGTCCGTGATCGATGCACAAAACATACTAGCATTACGGGCAGAATCTGCAGTCGGTGAATGAAGCACACTGTCACTGCTGGCTTTATCCGGGTTTGATGAACAGAGAGCACTGTCACTGTTAGCTTTATCCAGGTTTGATGAACTGAGAACCCTTTCATTACTACTGCCAGAGTCCTGAAACTGACCCGTTGACCCCTCGAGCTCTCTCGTTCGTAACTCCAAAATCTCCAATATTCGTGCAAACTCAGGTGTCCGCAACATGGTGGGAGAAGAAGACTTGACCAAGACTGGGATAGATGGCGCCAAAGATGAGAGAGTAGAAAACACAGGGCACGAATATAAACAGGCGAGGGGCTGGTCGTTTTGACGTCGAGCGAAATAGTCAGGAACTTGAAAGTCAAGCCGAAATCTCTCTCTCCGTTGTTTCTAAACGCAAGAAATCTAAACGCTCAAAATTTAGCGACAGGCAAAAGCGATATGACTTCTACAACGTCCAGTCTCTAAACTGACGCTACCTGCGACAAGCTGACAGGTCGAGTCTTTGAGCAGAATAATTTTTAATTTTGCTTTGTCCTAATCCATGCGCGTCTGCCTCGAGTCCGGCAAAAGGGGAGGGGCGCGGAGGGGTAGACATACTAGCCATTCGCCTTTGTGTATTTTTTAAATTCTCGCCCTCCCTCCAGGTCCCCAATATTTCAATATCATACCATTGCGTCATAAGTGTACAAATTTAATCGTTATACTTTCGCACCTCACCATCCGCCTTTGTCCACAATCTCATTGCCCAGGGCGGAGTTATAATGATGCAACCGTCTTAATCCTTAACCCTTTTGCTGTCAGCCGTACATCATAGTGAGGTATTGTTTGTTTTTCCCGGGAGGGGGTTTGGGGGTGGGGGGCGGAGGGAGACAATGTGGGTGACTGAGTTTGTTTAAATAAGGACATTTTCATAGTACCAAAATGGATTGCTTTTATGTCATGTTGCCTTCACTCTCCTGCTTCTTTTCTTCTTCTTTTTTGGTAAGTGTTTTAATGCGCTCGCAACTGCATAAGGTGATATGAGCGCGCGGGACACACCTAATACTTTTAGTTGGTAGGAAATTTTGAATTTTGCCCGGGTGGCGGCCGAAGCCTACTCTTATCGATTTTAGACCACCAAGGGATCTTTAACGTGCGCAACTTGCACACGGGCCCTCTGAGATTTTTCGCCCTTGTCCGAGAAGGCTAGGTGTAGATCTTTCCTACCAGAAGATCAGGGATGTGGCAGAAAGACAGCTGTAAGAAGGAGTCAAGGAGTAGCAGTAGAAAGGCTGCAGAAAGAGTCAGGAGCCCAGAGGAGGGGGCAAAGGAGGTGAGGGGGTGGGGGCAGAAAGTAGAAATGAAAGCAGACAACAGAACATTGCTAGAGAGCAGGAAAGGAGGTGAAAGGAGACACTTTTAGAGAAGAACATTTTTCGGTCGCTACCTGGATTCGTACCCGGGACCTTTGAATGAGAGGCCAACACCTTAACCTCTAGGCCATGAGAGACCCTCCTGCTTCTTTTGATTCAGGGAGATGATTGTTTTCATCCGTTTTTAGTTGTATTGTCCCCATATTATTAGTGGATGTATCTGTCCCAAATCAGTTTTTCATGATGGTGTGACATCATCTGGCAGAAGACTTTATATGATTCCTTTAATATTTTATTGACAAGGCTGTTGTCGGTGGCAATTTAATGTGCTACAATATGTTCATAATATTATGATATTAAATGTCTGTGAACACAAATGACCACTGGTCATAATCTCAGAACATGCCTACCCGGTTGTACGTACGATGTGTAAACTGTGCGTGGTTGTGGTGTTTGTCCGCTTGATAACTTGGTGTCCGTGGAATCCTACAGTTTACACAGAGGATCCTCTTGGTGATACTACGAGCAATAAAAGCTCTGACGTAATGCAGAGCGCGCTGGTGGCGTATTCTGTGGGTGATGTTAGTAGGCCTCCTCTTATGAATTAAGGGGTTAAGGCATGGTTAATTATTTTATATATCAATATTGCTTTTGTTTTCGTGAGTGTTTTACGTTGCTCTCAACTGCATGAGGTGATATGAGCGCGAGTGACACTGAGAACAATTTTAGTTTGTTTTGCTGTTTTTGTAAAGTGTTTTACGGCGCTCGCAACTGCATAAGGTCATACGAGCGCGCGGGACACACCTAATATTTTCAGTTGGTAGGAAATTTTGAATTTTGCCCGGGTGGCGGCTGAAGCCTACTCTTATCGATTTTAAGCCACCAATGGATCTTTAACGTGCACAATTTGCACACGGGCCCTCCGAGATTTTTCGCCCTTGTCCGAGAAGGCAGGTTTAGATCTTTCCTACCAGAAGACCAGGGGTGTGGCAGAAAGACAGCAGTTAGGAGGAGCCAAGGAGTAGCAGTAGAAAGGCTGCAGAAAGAGTCAGAGCCCAGAGGAAGGGGCAAAGGAGGTGAGGGGGCGGGGGCAGAAAGTAGAAATGAAAGCAGACAACAGAACATTGCTAGAGAGCAGGAAAGGAGGTGAAAGGAGACAATTTTAGAGAATAAATTTTTTCGGTCGCTACCCGGATTCGAACCCGGGACCTTTGAATGAGAGGCCAACACCTTACCTCTTGGCCACGAGAGCTCCGGGGGGAAGTTTAATGTTGTGTTAAGGTAGTCTAATGTTGATGGCGAGAAGGCGGGTAGGGCGTGGATGCACTAATTACAGGACATTCATCTCTGTACAACTTCTCCAGTTAGGATTTTAGTAGAGGTTTGTCATCACTGTATTTGTGATTCAACTGGATTTGATGTTTTACCTAGATGCCCACGATCCCACTTGCCTTTACTCGTCCTTTGTTAGTATTCTTTTCCCTCGACATCGAATTGCCCCTTCAGGATGCGAATTTTCAAATTCTCCACAAGCATAACAGTAACACATTCGGGCCTAAAATGAATAATTAGTACCTAGACCATCCACTAATAAACTCCGATATTTTGGGAAACATCGATTAAGAAGCTCAAAACACAAAGTATTTTCAATTGATTACACTGCGAGATGGAGAGACGAGTAATAATACAGACTTCAGAAGATTGAACAAATCGACAGAAATGATTATTTGATATTGTTTCCTTTCGTTTGCAGTTTCAGCCTGTATGTCCTCTGTGGACAATCTACTCTCCAGAGACAAAGACGAAGAGTGTGGCACCTGGATTCGGAAGACAACACCTGTCAACCTTTCAACTTCCAGTCTGAGGGTCTTCCTGTTTCTGACAACAATGAGCTCTCATTTCGACACCATCGAAATCAAGGGTTAAAACTATATACAAGCAAACATCAGGTTCTAAACTGAAGAATATTTTGCGGAAAAGAAGTCAAGATTGAAAAAGCATGACTGAAATGGGCCATTTCGTACTCAGTGTGTCTCTTCTAGCCATCTTTGTGGACCCTGTTTTCCCAAAGTGTATGAACAAGTGCAAGTGCGAATGGCATCACTGGCATACAGATGTATCCTGCTTCGGTTATCCCGGCGAGCGAATCCCACGGTCTGAGTTGCTCAGGCTCGGCTCTACGCCAGTTAACTTGGAATTCCACCAACTAGAGCTATTGTATTATTATGCAGAAGATTTCCCACAACACGCCAACATCACAAGTCTCAGAATTTCAGAGAAGTATGTGATCAGCTACTCCAGATTCGCCTTTTAAGGTATCGCCAAATCTCTGGCGTCGCTAGATATGGATGCGCCCAACTTTTACTCTCCCAGCCCACTTTGTCTTGTCCCTTCTCTACACCGCCTGACGCTCCTACGGATACGGTGCAATCCGTATTTCATTAAGGATTTTGTTATCTTCTTGCTTTTTTATGCCACCATTGACTCATTCAGTCATGAAACTTACTTAAGATGACTGCAGAATACTATACTTTGATGATAGGGTATTCAATGGGCTAAATCTGACCAGATTTAGTTTAAACTATAACAGCATGGGAGAGATACCTGTTCCTCCGAGGTCTCTGCCTCTTCAAGTTTTGTCTCGAGAAAAGAACAAACTAACTTGTCGTATACCCAATTGATTTCCACCTGCAGTGTCTGTTCTGAACTTAGCGAATAACAATATAATATATTATCCTTCGTTGAGGCAGGCGTTTTTTTGGAACTTACCCTTTCTTTCTAACATTGATTTGAGCCACAACATGTTTATATATTTGTTCCCACGTGAATTCGACCGAATAAACGCAGGAATTATCAACCTGGCAAACACTGGACTGACTGGCGCAGAACAGTGCGTGTTATTAGCTCCCGGCAGCAGCGCTTACTTAGTCTTCACAGGGACTCCTCTACCCTGCGGATGTGAGCTCCGCAGTTTCCTTTAACATTCTTCTACCCACATTAACGGAGAGTGCGTCGATAGATTCGGCGAGAAGTTTAAGTTGTATATCTATTAGTTCTGGCATCAAATTCGCTAAAGAAGTTGTTAGGGTTCCCTAGCGCTGCTTACTCGGGGACTGTGCAGTCCCCTAACACTGCTTTGCACTGGGGGACTGCAAAGAAACAACATTTGACCTTTCGATCGAGGTCAACAAGCCATCATCAGACAGATCTGGATCCTACTGATACATAATTAGATCTAGATCTAGATCTAGTTATGTTAATTAGTATGGAGGGAGAATCTAGATCTTGAGCCAAACACTTTATTTAAGACGAATTTACCTTTTATGTCGACAGGTTTGTTGATCTATCTCTTGATCTAGTTCTAGATTTTAGATCTTGATCTAGTAGTACTAATGACATATACCGTAGACTACACTGCATGGTAGGTCTACTCGTCATCAATTTAAAAATTGCAGCCTGTTTCTATAATATCTAGGTTTAGATCTAGATCTAGTAGTAGGCCCAGTGTTAGATCTAGTATTACCAAAGATTCTCCACTTTCAAGGCCAAGGTATTGCAATCCTTCTTTGGGCTTTTGACCCACGCCGTGGCGGGCCCACTTTGCCGACGTCACTTGGCAACGTGAGGTTGGTTTCATCACCAAGACATTATCAAATTTAGAAACAGTGATTGGGTATGAGAAACTGGAAAGCAGGGAGGAGAGGAAACGTTTTTTTAAAAATTGTTCGACGAGGATGGGATTCGAACCCACGCGGGGAGACCCCTATGGATTAGCAGTCCATCGCCTTAACCACTCGGCCACCTCGTCCGCGTGCCCATTCAAACTGAACTAATGAAAACTGATAACTGCTGAGTTCTGTCGCAAGTTTTTCTAAGCTCGCTTTTTTTTTTGGGGGGGGGGTTGTTTGGGAGGATGGGGGCGGGGGGGTGGTGTTGTTGTAGGATACTGTTTCCCTCTCAGCATAATCAACATAAAAATACTTCGCAAAGTATCATTAATCTGTCATTAAAAAATGTTGCTTTGCACCGACTGGCCTTTTAGTTTTAGCCTATCCGGAATGGCCGGCGCGTCCCTCAAGTTTAACACTCGTGAGGTCACAGCTGAGAGCTCTCGTTCTGTTTAGAAGAATTATAACCTCTTTGAAATAGGCCAAGTGCATCCAAGGAAAACTACTCTTACAAATCAGAGCAGCGAACAAAATTCCAGAGTTATGTCCCCAACAAAGATGGCTGCGCCCATGAACGATGTTGACTTTCAGCTTTTCCTGTAACCCCGAAAAGTCATGTTATTATGAAATAGCGAAAAGTTTAAAGTAAGTTGCTCTCAACTAGATTATTGAATGTAGTCCATAAATAACTTTGGAGGCCGGGAAGATTGAAGAATACCGGACCACTCGTAGGAAGATTGAAGAATACCGGACCACTCGTAGATCTACATTAATTAGATCTAGATCTATTGATTGCGCGAGAAAGTGGGGTAGGTGGGGCGGGTGGTTGGGGTGGAGGAGGTGGGAGAGGGGGTTCCATTGAGAGATATTAAAAACGGGAAAATTATGAATTCCTAAGGTTGAGACATAGGCAAAGTCAGTCCGCTGGTCCGGTATTCTTCAATCTTACCCCACTCGTATATATTATTGCTCGAGAATGTGGGGTGGGTGACATCTAGGCAAAGTCAGCCCGCTGGTCCGGTGCCGGTATTCTTCAATCTTACCGGAGGTCGCATTGGAAGTAGATCTACAGTTGAACCTGCCCTGACAGCCACCTGTACAAACGGCCACTTTCCATTCCCCCCTTGCGTTTTTTCTAGATTTATGTATAATTTATTATTTAACTGTGTAAAACGGGCACCTGTCCAACGCAGCCGCGGCCACCATATTTTAACAAGTAAGAACGCCTTCTATCATATCAAACGATAACCCCTGTCTTTGACGACCACCTTACTCCTTTGTGACTTCAACGTTTTGTCATAAATTGTGCATTGGCCTTTGGGGCTTGGAGTGGTGGGCGAGCCGTCATAGTATCCAATCACCTGTCGTTGTTGTTAGGTAGTCCCTCCAACTGATTATGTCATGTTGCGTAGACCCTCGGTGCTTTTTCGGTAGTTCCCACCCCCCTTATTTGAGCCTAGATCTACATCCAGATCTAGATCTATACATCTGATGCATGGTGAGCTAAGATATCAAACCTAACAACTGCAAAACATCAAATTATTGTTCAATTCAGAGGGGGGGGGGGCATGCCCCCCCCCCCTGAAACCTCCCACTACATTTTTTATTAGGTCAGGGGGGCTTCTGAACTACTCTTGGGGCCAAAACCGGCAAATAACAATTGCTGGGTGGGAACTACCGAAAATGCGCCGACCCCTCCACTGTTGACCAATAGGTGACAAATTTTTAGCTGCTGGTGAGATAAGCGTGTACCCTCTTTAAACTCATTCTTCTTCTTCTTTTTCTTCTATCCCGTGTTGGGGCAATGGTGGGGGCACCACTGCATCTGAAAACCAGCTCGCGTCATTTATTTTTTGTCCTCTGCTTTCCTCATGATATTGTCACCCATCGTCTTTCCTGTCCACTCTATAATTATAATGTTGTCCTCCATCTCCTTCTCTGCCTTCCTCTCTTTCTCTTTCCTTGCAGGATTGTTTTGGCAAGTCCTGTGGCTCTTGTGAAATGCCCATACCATTTTAATTTTCGTCTCTTCACTGTGGTCAGTATAGGGATCTTCATGCTGCCCCACTGTGTTGGTGATGCTCTTTCGTTCCTCAGCCTTTGAAACATGGTCTTTGTACGAGATGTCAAGGAGTCTGCGGTAATTTCTCTAATTCTGCTGTCAGTGTCCATGACTCGCAGGCGTATAAAAATATTGAGATGACCAGTGAGCACATTAGTCTGATTTTTGAGTTGTGTGTGATGTTTCTGTCCCTCCAAATAGCCTTCAGATTTGTCAGTGCAGCTGTTGTTTGCGCGGTTCTGGCGAGAATTTCTGGTCTTGAGCCTTCATCTGAGACGATTGATCCAAGGAATTTGAAGCTGTTGACGGTCTCAAGTTTCTCGCACCTGACTTTGATGTCCACGTTGATGCCATTGGTATAATTGGTCATTAGCTTGGTTTTCTCGGCATTGATCTCCATGCTGTAGGCTGCTTAGTTAGGTTGTGTCCAGCCGCCCAAAACTCATCTACAAATGGTAAGTGAGATGAGTGGTCACTGTTTACCCAGTCTGTAACAAAGCAACAGTGGACGTCAACATGAAATTGTGACCGAAGCGTCGCTCGTTCTCCGAGTGGTGGCAACCCATGTGTTTGTTTTACCGTAGTACTCAGTCCTCTTTGTCTGACACATTTCGTTTTTTGTCCCCCTTGCACAAAGGCAGCTACAAAAAAAGAAAAAAACCCTGCGAAAACAACAACAACGATACAGCTAACTTCGGTTGGAACCTCAGAAATGAATGGTTTGTTTTCTTCATCTTGATCAGTCCTGTCTTATACGGCCACTTTTCTCCTTGACAATGGGTGGCCGTCTTACACAGGTTCCACTGTACTCCCATAGCATTGTCCTATGTGTTTGTATAAAACTTTTTTTTTTCTTGAGTAAGATTCAGGCTCTGATATCACTCACCTCCAGGTCTAGATCTCATCTAGATCTAGATCTAATATCTAGATTCTAGTCTTAATAAATTTGAAATAATGACACAAGACCAGTTGAAGTGGACTCCTTTGTTTATGTTACTGTGTTATTAACACAACAAGAATGTCACTCATTACAACTACTTGCGGTTGAGACATCACAGTTATTCTGTAAACAATGTGTAGGCCTATATGATCCCATGGGTATGATGGTTAAATCTTAATTTATTAAAGTTAGAATTTGAACATTGGTGGGCTCTCTTTGGGAGAAGTGGTCCCGGCCTAAGTTGTCTCATGGAAATATCAAAATTACAGTATTTAAATTTTCTTTATGGTAGGCTAGATGGATGCAGCTTGAAAAATGCCTTCTAACGGTACCAATTTTATCATCCTACGATAATTAGAACCTAATTTTTTAATATTTTTTTGAAACGTAATAATGATTATATAGAGACAATAGATTTTATAGGGTGCTATAGAAAAAAAAAACGTCAAAATTGTGACCGTAAAAATTTTAAAGAGCATACCACGTTATTCACAATATATACCCCTAAACCCGTACATCAAAATGACCGACATGTTGAGATGAAACTTTCTAAAGAATAAAAGCTAGTGCTCGTTAAAGATTTGTGTTAATTAATGCAACTTAACCAGATTCTCATAGAGATAGAAAAAGGATAAAATATAAATGCAGTTTGTACAATTTGTAAACATCCTTGATCCAGATATTAGAATAACAGACTGTTGAAATAAAACTTTGGGAGATGTGCAAGGTAATCATGACTGTGCAAGTATGTTAAATTAGGTGTGATATTATTATTTAGCTTGACCTGTAAACAAGAAAAAGTGATGCCTTTGGTTCTAATTAAGTAATAAACAGTAATAAACCTTTAAACCCACTCATTAAAATGATTGAAATGTTACGATGAAACCTTTTTAAAGTGTAAGAGCATTACACAATGGTAAAAAAACGGAAGTTGCGTAAAAAAAGGGGGTGGGGGGGGGGGGGGGGGGGGGGGGGTGCAGGGGGTCTTCCCTGCTAAATTCACAAAAATATTGGTTTTTGACAGTTTTTTGCCCCAAAATTGTTCTCAGCACACTAAGAAACATTTATATAGTGCCGAAAAGTCTTAAATGGGTGGATCTTTTCTATAAATTTACCGGTGGCGTTTTCGCCCTGACAACTCAGTCAGCTTTTTTACTCGAATTCGGCTTTTGTTTCCGATTTTGTGTATAAATTTCTATGGAGTTGGGCCAGAACCACTTCTCCAGAAGAGTGCCCATTAGTGCTCATGTTAATTGTTAAAAGAAAATAGATGTTTAACAGTTGCAGATCATGAAATTTCAGATCGAACGAGCGAGGGATGAGTATGGAAATGTCATTTACAAGTGTAAATATTGTGTTCTTGGTGTTCCCTCTTCTACATCCTCCCCAAAAGATAATACTTTGCAACATATATCAGGAGCTATGACTATGAGTTGACAAATCCTCACACACCCAAGAAAATAATGTCTTTTGCTTCATATTCATGCTGAAAAAGTATGAATACATTGAAAAGCCGTGATAATAACAGAGTTCAGTGAAACAAAGTTGGGGGTATAATATGGGAGAGAAAAGTTCTGCTGAAGGAAGCAAGGATGCTGACACTCTCACACTCTCCCTCCACTTATTTTAACCTCCAAACATCCCTGCCAGCTTTCGAGCAGAAAAGCCTGGACAGATGCAGTCAGGAAAAGCAATCTGATACTGTCAATGAAAAGCAATCTGATACTGTCAATGAATACACAAGGTCATTTTTGATTTTTAACAAAGGAGAAAGAAATAGGTGGAATGAGGGGTATCGGCGGTGCGCATGGGGCGGCTTCAGTGCACACTATGTGACACTATAAATAGATTCCTGCCTCAAACCAATGGCCCAACTCGTGGCCTTAAAAACAAACCTGTGTGTTCTTGAAGGTGATCGTCGGTTTCATTCAGTTTGTGCCACGCTGGTAGTTTTTTCTTATTTGCCAATGGGCAACCGGTTATAAGTTTATAAGGTTTTAAGAGAGTTTGTGTGGCCTGGACTAGCAAACGGTGAAATATATTATGCTTTCACAGAATGACTGAGAATGTTTTATAATTTAAGCATGCACATGATGAGTTCTACAGGCAGGTCAATTGCTTAGTGATTTTTGGTTGGTTCATACATTTGTTGTTCCTCTGCAAGTGGTCAAATTGTCTATTGTTTATAAAAGTTTGTCCCTTCATTACTTCTTCTGGTCTTTTTTTTTAACCCTCATGTCAGCATTAATTGCTAAGTGTTCTGATAGTTTCAGTGGTAATGCATCAGAAGCCTGAAGTCTCTGTTTTCACTGATTTTTATGTGTGCCCAAATGTCAGCATCATCACCAGCTTTACTTCTCTGTGCATGAAGTTTATGTGAAAATGCAATCAGCCAAGGAGCAGCTTTCTTGTTAGCGCAGTACATCCTAAATTTATTTTTATTAAATGTGCAATGCACAATCAAATCAAATCATACACTTGTAATACTTAATTTGTATAATTTCTATTATTGTTATCTTATTATTGTTTTTACTATTATGTCATTATTGTTCATTTTAGAAGTTCACGTGAACAGTACTTGAATCATGATCATGTCATCCATACTTCAGTCACTCAACATAAATCTATAGCTGAGAAATAATTATTTTATTTCTCATTCTAATTTAAAATGGACACTTCTATTGGAATATTATTCACTTTTAATCTTCTGTTTGGATGAAGATATAATATGTTAAGAACTTCTACGAAAAATATTTTGCTTTTCAGTCTATTTTACATGCTTTTTTCCATTTACCTTTCAGATACTACTGCTGAGTGAAGTGGATAACTAAAATGCCTTTTTCTGATTATATCTCCACGCTTGGGGACAACCCATATTTTGGGGCTGGGGCAGGCCTCTTTGGAGTTGGAGTTTTGGCTGCTGTTGCCCGCAGAGGGCTCCAAGGTGCTACCATTGTTTTCCGACGGCAGTTTATGGTCACTATGGAGGTAACAAGCAGAGACAAGAGCTATCAGTGGTTGTTACAGTGGATCAGCAAATACGGTACCAAAACTCAGCATCTCAGTGTAGAAACAGAGTTCCAGCAAACAGCAGCAGGGCAGGTGAAGACAAGGTTTCATTTTGTGCCCAGTCCAGGGAACCACTATTTCTGGTATAAGAACTATCCAATATTTGTGGAAAGAAACAGAGACAACAAAATGGTTGAAGTGTTTGAGACCGTGACTCTAACATCTTTGGGAAGGAACAGAGAATTGTTCATGAACATTTTGGAAGAGGCACGGACACTTGCTCTTCTGAGCACTGAAGGTCAGACTGTGATGTATAGTGCTGTTGGTCCAGAGTGGCGACCAATGGGTTACCCAAGAAGGAAAAGGCCTCTTAATTCTGTGGTCTTGGATTGTGGAATTTCAGAAAAGATTCGGGATGATATTCAAGAATTTATCAACAACCCCAAATGGTACATGGATCGAGGAATTCCGTATAGAAGAGGGTACCTGCTGTACGGCCCTCCAGGTTGTGGAAAGAGTAGCTACATTATGGCCCTGGCAGGTACTTCTTACTAAAGATAGACTTGAAAAGTGAAACTTTCTACAAATTTCAGTTTGAAATTCCATGGTAGTTCTTTTTTTCTGATAATTGTCTTTGTTACTACAGTGGAATCCTGTTATAACGAGAGGGAGGGGACCGGAGCAAAATGTCCGTTATAGCAGGATTCTCGCTATAAGGGATCCAGTAATAAATTCAAGGGAAACTGTGAAGTAGGCCTAATCTATGAGTTTGGTGTTCTGTTTATTTCCTTTTGCTATCTCCCCTGATGATGATTTTGTTTCAACTTGACCTCTGGATCTTACTTGCTCAAAAATCGAATCAGGTTTCTTTCTCTAGCGCTAGATCTAGCAATGTGGACTGACAGCTCGGCGTTGGCGATCAGAAAGAAAGGGCTCTAGGCTAACTCGCCCGCTGTGTTTTCCCCCACCCCACCCCACCCTGTGGTGCATTCTGTCTGCTTGCGCACGTCACACATTCGCTCCATCCATCACATTGCTATGACCTCTCCATCCCCGCATCGGAGAAGTGAGAGGCATGGTAGGCCTTGATAATCTAAAGTAGGCTTACACTGGCCTATCACGCGATGCATTCTGCTTGTTTGCGCATGCCACAACCTCCCAACTCGGTCGCTCCGGCCTTCATTGTTAAAGCACATGGCTCTCCCATTCTTAGTTTCGCAAGATCAGCAACAAGTTTCTCAACGGGCGAGGTTTTGCATTATGTCTTTAAAACAGACTTCTCGTTTTTTCCAAACTCGTTATAAGTGGACTCCACTGTATGTCAACAATGTCTATTATGTACATAGCCAAACTGGTGGGATGTGGACATCTTTTTCTTTTGTACAAATTCCACTTTGGATGTATTTTAAAAAGAAAAAAATTCTGGAGCTGAAAATCTGTTTGCTATGTGCATGTTCGCCATGTGCACGCTAGACTGTATTAATTTATCAAGACATATAAATGAAACGCCTATCTAGAATTTTATCTATCAGGGGAAAAGTTTGTGTGTGTATGCTTTTTTCACTGTATACATTGAATATTAATGAAAGAATTCTTTGCTCTGGGTGGGGAAGGGGTGGTGGCTTAAACAAAACAACTGCTGGAGTTCTAATAACTATAGAAAACATATGTGCACTCTCATAGTTAATGTTGAACTAGATTTGCACCCACCAGTTTCGATGATACTTGACTAGAATATTATTATTATAGTTACTCATCTATGGCACACTTGTAGTAGATATTTTCTGCATTAGAGTTTTTTACTGTAAGAATGAGTGTGAACATGATTTTAATGTCCTGATGAGAGAATGTGTTATTATTCAATGCTGGATGGAATGGCTTTGAATTGAGAGGGAAAGGAGGGAGAAGACAGCTGTTGTGTCATGACAGTTATAGTTTGTATTCATTTTGGGATACTGAGACCGTGGTTTTCTTCCTGGGCAAGTGTTATTATTTGATGATGATCACAGTTAAAGCATTTTTCCCTTGTAAATGTATCAAAGTAGACTTATTTACCATCACTTCAAGAATAGAAAAAATGTAAAAAGCATTCATGATTCTTAATGACGTTTATACTTTTGCATTATGCTTCAAGTTATTCTCTGGGGGAGGGGGAGGGCGGAGGGGGGAGGGGAGTTGTGGATATATGCCTTTAATAGATAATGTGATGCATAAAATGTGGAGAGAAAGGGGTATGGGGTACAGTGTGTTGTTGCTTTTGTCATGTGTATTGTGACTTAGTCTTTCTGTTTCAACTTCCAATTTTTCTTCAAAGCTTAAAGAGTTCATTATTTCCAGTCAGTCTTATTTATTTATGATTGACAAGATACTTTGTACTTTGTTTTACTTGTCTGTTCCACAGATGTTACAGTGCTGCTAACATTTATTTTATTTCTTTTCCTGATTTCTTTCTTCATTTCATTGTGTGTGATATCTAGCATGTGTTTGTTTATTTAAGGCGCCATTGACTACAGCATCTGTGTCCTCAATTTGAGTGACAAGGCCATGTCTGATGACCGCTTGAGCTATCTGCTGACCAATGCCCCTGAACAGAGCATCATCTTATTGGAGGATGTGGATGCGGCTTTTGTCAGTCGTGACCTGTCTTCTGAAAGTAAGATAAGAGAGTTGAGGGAATGGATGGATGTTTTTTCAAATGTTTTTGGGATATAACAGAGAACATCATGTTATTGTGTTTTTTTGTAATTGAAAGAGGGCAAAATTGATTTTATAAGTAATGAAAGAAAAGTGCATGCTGGGCAAATGGTTAAGGCAGGAAATAGAAAATATGGTGAGTAGTGAAAGACAGCGCTTTTGAGGAGATGAGTAAGACTAAGAGTTTTCTGGTGGGTTCAAGTGTATACTTTTGGCCAGGCGTGTGTCTAAAAAAAGCCCGCCTTTCCCTGAAATTGATCTCGGGTTTACGTACTTTATTAATTAAGCATTGGGTAACTTTTCAGTTTGTTAGCGGGTATTTTGCTGCCTTTGAAAAAGGGAGGATTGTTGAGCCACAAAATCACCTTTTCTTGTTATGATTTATGACTCTTCTTTTCTCACTTTGAAAAAACTGGCAAATCTTTTGTTGTTATGGTATGAATCTTTTCCTTGCTCTCAAGATATGAGTCTGAGTCCAGCTAGGGGAAGGTATTTTATGCTGTGTCTTCGTCTTACTGATGGAATTTCTACTGCACTATAGCATTCCTCTCAGTACTTGTCAGCTTTTACTTGCAGGGTCAAGACCCTGCCTCTTAAATGATCTCAATTTCATTGGTCAGGACTTACAACATTTGTAAATGCAATCATTTAGTTATCTAAGGAAAAAAAATGTCATACTAGAATTTGAGTGACATGAAATGGGATAAAGTTTTATGATGTGTTGTCAAAGATCACGTGTAGGAAACAATACAGTTAAAAAACCCACCCTGACGGCCACCTCTATAAGACGGCCACCTGTACAAACGGCCACTTTCCATTTCCCCCTTCTGTTTTTTTCTATATAATTTAACTGTGAAAAACGGGCACCTGTCCAACGCGGCCGCGGCCTCCATATTTTAACACACAACCCCTATCACACTAAGCAATAACACCTGTCTTGGACGACCACCTTAGTGACTCCATTACGTTTTGTCATAAGTTGTGCATTGGCCCCTTGCGTTGTGGGCGAGCCGTCATATTCGATCACCTGTCGTTGTTGTTAGGTAGTCCCTCCAACCGATCATGTTGTGTAGGCCCCTCCCACGGGTTGACACATGGCTACCAATTTTCAACTGCTGGTGAGGTAAGCGTGTGATCCCTCATAACCCATAAGCCCCGCCCAGAACTCATACACAAATCGTAAGTGAGATGAGTGGTCACTGTTTACCCAGTCTATAATAAAGTAACATTGGACGTCAACATGAACTTGTGACAGAAGCGTCGCTCGTTCTACGAGTGGTGGAGACCCATGTGTTTGTTATAATATGGCATTCGGTCTTCCTCGTCTGATACATTTTGTTTTATTGTCACCCTTTTGCAAAATCAGCTACAAAACAAAAATTACAAACAAAATACAAACCAACAACAACAACAATGCGGCTACTTTCGATAGGGACCTCAGATGGGAATGGTTTGTTTTTTTCATCTTGATCAGTCCTGCCTAAGACGGTCACCTGTCTTATACGGCCACTTTTCTCCTTGACAATGGGTGGCCGTCTTACACAGGTTTAACTGTACTTGGAACTTTGTTAAGGATACCGGTAGTCTAGGGCTAGAAAAGTTGACCCTTGTTGGTAAACTAGTATTTGAAAGATGAATATTTTCTGCCCTTGAAGAATGTGCCAATCTCTATGTCAAATGTTCATAAACATTTCTTGGTTTCTTTGATTTATGCAATGCACTTGATTTCTAGTTATTTAGTGTTTGATTTCCTTCTTCATTCCTTCTTCAGATCCAGTGGCATATCAAGGGATGGGCAGACTGACTCTGTCTGGCCTTCTCAACGCTCTGGATGGAGTTGCCTCCACAGAAGCCAGGATTCTGTTTATGACCACAAACTACATTGACAGGTGAGTCTTCAAGTTAAGCATTGAGAAATATTCCTTCATTTACATTTTCTTGTAATAAAAAACATCCGTAAAATGTGAGTTCTTAATTGTTTATCATATATTATTCTTTAGAGAAAATTTTTAACACATTTTTAAGAGTGAGGGATATTTGTTTTTGGATAAAGGTATCTGAACAATGTGAACCAAATGATGAGTTTGCTCTGAAAGTGGTAGAGGGAAAGGGATGTTTAATAGACTCACTTTATGACGGCCCAGGTGAACCCCCCCCCCCCCAAAAATAGCCTAATAGTGTACAAGATCGCCTATACTGCTGTCCCAGGGCGGAGCAACTTATCGCACAAAGTCAAGTTCTTTGGTTTGATTGGTTTGTGGTCTTGCCCATACCAGGGCTGCCTACCATTCCGATTTTTTCGTAATCATTACGATTTTTTAGCCCCACTACGAAATTCCGATCGTCAGGCGATTTATTACGATTTTTACCGACAGCAGATTTTTTGGCTATAAAAAAATATATTTTTGGCTTTTTTTAAAAACAAATCTTAGTGCAGACATGTAAATCGTCCGACAATTGTCGGAAAACCGCCAATCCTAAATCTCCCCCGCCCCCCTAAAAAAAAGGAACAGCTAACCCTAAATCCATTACATCAGTCATCTACCATTTTGTGATTTAAAAGGTGAGTGTAAAGCTAGACTTTGGCCTTCACATTTATTTAATTTTCGATAAGCCCTATTTTTCCGTAATTAAGACATATTTTTGTTCGTTGTAATATAGGCCTAGTAATTTGAAAATGAGAGCACTATTACTAATTTTTATGGAAAATGACTTATTTTCTTCTTGGTCATTACTGAAAACTAAGAAGATGGGTTGGCAGCCCTTCCATACCCTTAAAATAGAGCATATATAAAAGGTATATTGTGCCAAATTTCATCAATCTAGGCCTTATGGTTTTGTTTTATAAAGGAGGAAAACTTATTTATGAAATGGAGTAGTATGTATCTGTTTTTCTTTCTGTCTCTAAGTGTCACTCAGAAACTTTTAACAATACAGTCACTAATGCAAGAAATATTATCGACTTCTCTACTCCCTGCTTTACAGAGAAAGCAAAACGTTTTGAAGTTGGGTTTTTTTTTCCCGACAGTGATAAAAATAAGTCTTGCTGCTTTACCTCTGTTGCAAGTATATTTTTACTCTTACCTCATTTTCAGACTGGACAAGGCCCTGATTCGACCGGGTCGAGTGGACGTGAAGGAGCTCATTGACTACACCAGTCACTTTCAGCAAGAACAAATGTTCCGCAGGTTCTATCCGGAGGAGCCCGAGTCGAAAGCGGGGGAATTTGCAGACAGAATCGCTGCTTTGAAGTGTCCTGTGTCTGCTGCCCAAGTCCAAGGATTTTTTATGCTGCATAAATCAGACCCTGATTCTGTGCTTGTTCATGCTGAGAGTATAGCAGACTTGTGATGGCATAATTATAACTAAATGAAAAGATACAACAAGAATGTGTTCCGATTTTGTTCTTTCTGGAAGATGGGGTTTTTCTTAATGAGCTAAATTTTAACCCATTTTCACCTGAGTTGCCTCCCTGAGCAGACACAACCACCTGGGCTGCCTCCAAACAGCTGCAAAATTAGCGTGCAATAAGCGTGCAGAAGTGTACGAAAGGTAACTCTAAAGAAATGTTTGTATAAAACTTGGAAATGATGGACTGGAGCAAGTTTTAAAAGAATCATGAAGGGGTTAAGATTTTCTCGTAATGAGGTGGCTGCCTGGATACGAGTAATCTTGTAGGCTGTCAACAATGTCCACAACAGGTTAATTAATGACTGAATGCATTTTTTAAAAACTTTGAGTTCAGCTTTTGTTTACCTAGTGATTGTTTACAATTCTATTTTAAAGTACAATCAAACCCACTGCCAAGCTTGGGACAATCATGAAGTTGGCGGTATAATGAGGTTTTAATGCCGTCTTCTGAGCATGGTATGCCCAGTGTCAAGGGAAGTTATTTGATGACGAGATGATGGAATTGTAATGGGTTATTTCCCGGAGTCCAAAATGTCTTGAGATGGCCTTCAGGCTTCCTGCATACATGATGATGATGATCGCCAGCTTGCTGTTGGGGTTTTTTATTTTTTTTTTTTGGGG